AAACAATATGAAGTTCAATTATGAGAAATTTCAATTACTCCAATATGGAAAACTTGAGGAAATTAAAACTATATTGGAGTATAAAACAAATTCCAACCACACAATAGAGCGAAAAACGAACGCCAAAGACCTGGGGGTGATCATGTCAGAGGATTTCACCTTCAAGGACCATAACACTGTATCAATTGCATCTGCTACAAAAATGACAGGATGGATTTTGAGAACCTTCAAAACCAGGGATGCCAAGCCCATGATGACACTTTTCAGGTCACTTGTTCTATCTAGGCTGGAATATTGCTGATCTAGAAAATGTACAGAAAACCTTCACAGCACGCATAACTGCAATAAACCACCTCAATTACTGGGAATGCTCGAAGTTCCTCAACCTATACTCCCTGGAAAGCAGGAGGGAGAGACATGATTATATACATCTGGAAAATCCAAGAGGGACTAGTACCAAACTTGCACATGAAAATCACTCCTTATGAAAGCAATAGACTCGGCAGACGGTGCAACATCCCCCCAATGAAAAGCAGAGGTGCCACTAGCATGACTGGGCCGTGGGGGTGTTAACCCCTGGAACTCTCTCCAGGTATATAGTCAGTTCTCATATAAAGCTCCTGTATATACAGTCAGTTCTCTTATAAAGCTCCTTTATATACAGTCAGTTCTCTTATAAAGGTCCTCTATATAAAGTCAGTTCTCTTATAAAGCTCCTCTATATACCTGGAGTTTACCTGGAGAGAGTTCCGGGGGTCAACGCCCCCGCGGCCCGGTCTGTGACCAGGCCTCCTGGTGGATCAGAGCCTGATCAACCAGGCTGTTACTGCTGGCTGCACGCGAACCAACGTACGAGCCACAGCCCGGCTGGTCAGGAACCGACTTTAGGTGCTTGTCCAGTGCCAGCTTGAAGACTGCCAGGGGTCTGTTGGTAATTCCCCTTATGTATGCTGGGAGGCAGTTGAACAGTCTCGGGCCCCTGACACTTATTGTATGGTCTCTTAACGTGCTAGTGACACCCCTGCTTTTCATTGGGGGGATGTTGCATCGTCTGCCAAGTCTTTTGCTTTCGTAGTGAGTGATTTTCGTTTGCAAGTTCGGTACTAGTCCCTCTAGGATTTTCCAGGTGTATATAATCATGTATCTCTCCCGCCTGCGTTCCAGGGAATACAGGTTTAGGAACCTCAAGCACTCCCAGTAATTGAGGTGTTTTATCTCCGTTATGAGCGCCGTGAAGGTTCTCTGTACATTTTCTAGGTCAGCAATTTCAGCTGCCTTGAAAGGTGCTGTTAGTGTGCAGCAATATTCCAGCCTAGATAGAACAAGTGACCTGAAGAGTGTCATCATGGGCTTGGCCTCCCTAGTTTTGAAGGTTCTCATTATCCATCCTGTCATTTTTCTAGCAGATGCGATTGATACAAAGTTATGGTCCTTGAAGGTGAGATCCTCCGACATGATCACTCCCAGGTCTTTGACGTTGGTGTTTCGCTCTATTTTGTTGCCAGAATTTGTTTTGTACTCTGATGAAGATTTAATTTCCTCGTGTTTACCATATCTGAGTAATTGAAATTTCTCATCGTTGAACTTCATATTGTTTTCTGCAGCCCACTGAAAGATTTGGTTGATGTCCGCCTGGAGCCTTGCAGTGTCTGCAATGGAAGACACTGTCATGCAGATTCGGGTGTCATCTGCAAAGGAAGACACGGTGCTGTGGCTGACATCCTTGTCTATGTTGGATATGAGGATGAGGAACAAGATGGGAGCGAGTACTGTGCCTTGTGGAACAGAGCTTTTCACCGTAGCTGCCTCGGACTTTACTCTGTTGACGAATACTCTCTGTGTTCTGTTAGTGAGGAAATTACAGATACATCGACCGACTTTTCCTGTTATTCCTTTAGCACGCATTTTATGCGCTATTATGCCATGGTCACACTTGTCGAAGGCTTTTGCAAAGTCTGTATATATTACATCTGCATTCTTTTTGTCTTCTAGTGCATCTAGGACCTTGTCGTAGTGATCCAATAGTTGAGACAGACAGGAGCGACCTGTTCTAAACCCATGTTGCCCTGGGTTGTGTAACTGATGGGTTTCTAGATGGGTGGTGATCTTGCTTCTTAGGACCCTTTCAAAGATTTTTATGATATGGGATGTAGTGCTATCGGTCTGTAGTTCTTTGCTGTTGCTTTACTGCCCCCTTTGTGGAGTGGGGCTATGTCTGTTGTTTTTAGTAACTGTGGGACGACCCCGTGTCCATGCTCCCTCTCCATAGGATGGAAAAGGCTCGTGATAGGGGCTTCTTGCAGTTCTTGATGAACACGGAGTTCCATGAGTCTGGCCCTGGAGCAGAGTGCATGGGCATGTCATTTATCGTCTGTTCGAAGTCATTTGGCATCAGGATAACATCGGATAGGCTTGTGTTAACCAAATTCTGTGGCTCTCTCATAAAAAAATTCATTTTGATCTTCGACTCTCAGTCTGGTTAGCGGCTTGCTAAAAACTGAGTCATATTGGGACTTGAGTAGCTCACTCATTTCCTTGCTGTCATCTGTGTAGGACCCATCTTGTTTAAGTAGGGGCCCAATACTGGACGTTGTTCTCGACTTTGATTTGGCATAGAAGAAATACTTTGGGTTTCTTTCGATTTCATTTATGGCTTTTAGTTCTTCCCGCGATTCCTGACTCCTATAAGATTACTTTAGCTTAAGTTCGATGCTTGCTATTTCTCTGACCAGTGTCTCCCTACGCATTTCAGATATATTGACCTCTTTTAGCCGCTCTTGTTATTCATTTCTGTCGCCTGTAAAGGGAGCGCCTGTCTCTTTCTATTTTACATCTACTCCTCCTTTTTCTTAGAGGAATAAGCCTTGTGCATGCATCGAGTGCCACCAAGTTAATCTGTTCTAGGCATAAGTTGGGGTCTGTGTTGCTTAGTATATCTTCCCAGCTTATATCGGTTAGGACTTGGTTTACTTGGTCCCACTTTATGTTTTTGTTATTGAAGTTGAATTTGGTGAATGCTCCCTCGTGACTAATCTCATTATGTCGGTCTGGGGCTCCACGCATACATGTCTGAACCTCAATTATGTCAGTTACTTCTCTTATAAAGCTCCTCTATATACAGTCAGTTCTCTTATAAAGCTCCTCTATATACATTCATCTCTCTTATAAAGCTCCTATACCTTAAAGCCAGTACCACCATAAAGCCTGTACCACCATAAAGCCAGTACCACAATAAAGCCAGTACTGCCACCATAAAGCTAGTATACCACAATAAAGCCAGCCACAACCTTTTCACTTGCCAGTACATATAAAAGCCTACAAATGTGTACACTTTCATTTAAATGCACAGGAGTACTAGACCTAAAAATGTGTACATCATTAAATGCACAGGAGTCCTAGGCCTAAAAAATGAACAGGAGTACTGGGCTTAAAAATGTGTACACTATCATTTGTTAAATGCACAGGAGTACTAGGCCTAAAAAATGAAATGAAATAAAAAATTATAAATAAAAAAAAATCGTCTTAAGAGCCAGAGCACGCACTGGAAATAATAAACATGAATGTACATGAAAAGTACCAAAATAACAAAAAAGGCACAATACCATGACTGGAACGATGCACAAATAACCCGCACATAGAAGAGAGAAGCTCACGACAACGTTTCGGTTCGACGTGGACCATTTACAAAGTCACACTAACCACTACCTCTTCCTGCCTATATATAGCCGTCCTGCTCCACTTCTGGTTAGTGTGACTTTGTAAATGGTCCAAGTCGGACCGAAACGTCATCGTAAGGTTCTCTCTTCTATGTGCGGGTTATTTGTATAAAAACGCCAAGTTAGTGAGGTGCCTTAAAGCAAGGTGTGCCTTTATTTGCTGCTCAGTTTTTGATGCCCTTGTTGAATTGCATTTGCAAAAGATTTCACTGTATGCTCTTGCATTATAGGAGAGTTTACTGTACGGCCGGTCCTCGACTTATGTTGGGGTTATGTTCCGGTGAACCAATTATAAGTCGAAAATATCCCAAGTTGAAAATATCCTAAGTTGAAAATATGCCAAGTCGAAAATATCCTAGATCGAAAATATCACATCGAAAATATCATAAGTCTAAGATATTGTAAGTCAAAAATACAAGTAAAAAATATTATAAATCGAAAATATTGTGAATAGAAAATATCATAAGTCAAATGTAAATATGATGTGTTAAATAAGTGAATAAATAACTACTGTGTCTGGATAAGTCAGTAAAATAACTACCATAACTAACTAAATGCCAGTATTGAAAAGTAAATAAATGAATACGAGTTAGGGACTTGCCACCTTCATGCTGGGTAATTATCTTAAGTTTCATCTCCAAAGTATAATTGCTTTTGCACCATTGTAAAGTCAAAATATGTTAAGCCGAAATATTGTAAGTCAAACCATTATAAGTCGAACCATTGTTAGTTAAACCATCATAAGTCGAACCATCATAAGTCAAACCTTCAGATCTTGAACCTTCATAAGCCGAACCATTGTAAGTCGACTCATTGTAAGTCAAACCTTCGTAAGTCGAATCTTGTAAATCAAAATACTGTAAGTCAAAATGTCGTAAGCCGAACTATCATAAGTCGAACCTTTGTAAGTTGAACCATTGTAAGTCGAAATATGTTAAGTCGAAATATTGTAAGTCGAACCGCCATAAGTTGAACCATCCTAAGTTGAACCATCATAAGTCAAGCCATTGTAAATTGAAATATCGTAAGTCGAACCACTGTAAGTCGAAGTTGAGCCATCGTAAATCGAACCTTTTAAGTCGAACCATTGTAAAGCAAGCCATTTTAAGTCAAGGAGCACCTGTATTTTGTTAAATTAACACTTGTGGTCAATATTTGCACATATAATCCAAGGGTAAACTCTAAGTTCATTAGGAATGCTTATATGTTAATATTCTTATTTTGATTATCATTTTGTTGTTATTGTCATTTTTGTTCCTATTCCTCCCTGGCTTAAACTTATAGGTAGTTGATGGTGATGGTAGTGGTGAAGGGGAGGGTGATATGGATGTTGTGCTGATGGTGTACCTTGGTCTTGAATCCTAACAGTTTGTCTGCTGCTACCAACACTTCCTCTGCTCTGCCTTCTCGAGATGAACAAGTAAGCATGACTGTGTGCACGCCAGAGCTCTCCTTGCGCTCGACGTTTCGACCTGTGTAGAGCTTTAGCAAGTCTCTCGAAATTATTATTACATGATTGGGAACAAATTGGGGAAGAATGTGGACTCAAACCCATGGAAAGTGAGCCCTAAAACTCTCTTGCCTTGGGTTCAAACCTTGGCCGTTCCCAGGTTTCTTGAGCAAGTCATTGGATAAAGCTCTAAATAAAGCGAAACATCGAATATCAATGAAGTTCTGCACTGTACTGTTTCTTTTCATAAGTGAAAGCTTGATTTAACAGACCCTGTTTTAACATGTTACAAATCTGTGGGCGGACAATGTTGAGAAGCAAATGATAGTCTATCAAATCTGGGATTCTAGCGATCTTGGGAAAACATTCTCACAGTTCGAATTTGATGAACATTCAGTGTTAGCAGATGCTCCCTCCTTATCAATCTGTCAAATTGAAGGCTTGATCTACTCGTTGGCAAGTCTTGCCGCTCGGCGTGAGTGAGAATGAGTGTTGTTTCTTCATGATTGAGAGGTACCAGCCTAAATAAGAATGTGTGTGAATTAGCACTTGGGAAAAATTTAATTGTTTGTTTACTGGCAGATGTTTGTGGCATGTGTGACGGCAGAAAACATTTAGTGAGGAGCAAGACTTGGCATATGCATGTGTATTTAAAGATGGGATACACAGGTGTACTACAGCAGTAAAGATGGGATACACAGGTGTACTACAGCAGCAAAGATAGGATACACAGGTGTACTACAGCAGTAAAGATAGGATACACAGGTGTACTACAGCAGTAAAGATAGGATACACAGGTGTACTACAGCAGTAAAGATGGATTAACAGGTGTATTACACTATTAAAGACTGGCTTTAATTGTAACAACTTTCCACTCTGTGTAAAATTTTATCTGCTCTATTCTCTTTCCTTCAGCTCAAGCTTTCACATAGACAATGTATCAGTGATAGGTGAGCTTTTCCATTAGAAAGCTCACCTGTGAGAGGAACATAGAGTGTAAAGTATGCTTTGCTGTGAGTGTATATACAGGCAGGCCCCACTTGACAGTGCTTTGCTTTAGGGTGTTTTGCTAATGCAGCAGTTTTCAGTTATACCCGTTCTTCATTTATTCAGACTTCTTATAATATATTCATCACTCACTGTAAGCTAAGGACAAAAATATTTTAAGGTAAGTAATGTGTGTACTGTATATACATTTTATAGGCCTAACTCTATTGTTCATTTGCTATATGATAGTGTAAACATATTATCAGGCTTTTATATGCCTTTGAAAGTGAAACAAGTCTGTTTCACTGTGCAGTGATTTTCACTTTACAGCAGTAAACTGAAACCTAACTTGCTGTATAAGCAGAGCCCTCCTGTACAGCAGTAACTCAGAACTTAACCTGCTGTATAAGCAGAGCTCTCCTGTACAGCAGTAACTCAGAACTTAACCTGCTGTATAAGCAGAGCTCTCCTGTACAGCAGTAACTCAGAACTTAACCTGCTGTATAAGCAGAGCTCTCCTGTACAGCAGTAACTCAGAACTTAACCTGCTGTATAAGCAGAGCTCTCCTGTACAGCAGTAACTCAGAACTTAACCTGCTGTATAAGCAGAGCTCTCCTGTACAGCAGTAACTCAGAACTTAAGCTGTTGTATAAGCAGAGCCCTCCTGTACAGCAGTAACTCGGAACTTAACCTGCTGTATAAGCAGAGCCCTCCTGTACAGCAGTAACTCAGAACTTAACCTGCTGTATAAGCAGAGCTCTCCTGTACAGCAGTAACTCAGAACTTAACCTGCTGTATAAGCAGAGCTCTCCTGTACAGCAGTAACTCAGAACTTAACCTGCTGTATAAGCAGAGCCTCCTGTACAGCAGTAACTCAGAACTTAACCTGCTGTATAAGCAGAGCTCTCCTGTACAGCAGTAACTCAGAACTTAACCTGCTGTATAAGCAGAGCCCTCCTGTACAGCAGTAACTCAGAACTTAACCTGCTGTATAAGCAGAGCTCTCCTGTACAGCAGTAACTCAGAACTTAACCTGTTGTATAAGCAGAGCCCTCCTGTACAGCAGTAACTCAGAACTTAACCTACTGTATAAGCAGAGCTCTCCTGTACAGCAGTAACTCAGAACTTAACCTGCTGTATAAGCAGAGCCCTCCTGTACAGCAGTAACTCAGAACTTAACCTGCTGTATAAGCAGAGCCCTCCTGTACAGCAGTAACTCAGAACTTATCCTGCTGTATAAGCAGAGCTCTCCTGTACTGCAGTAACTCAGAACTTAACCTACTGTATAAGCAGAGCCCTCCTGTACTGCAGTACAGGAGGGCCCTGCTGTACAGCAGTAGGCTTTGCAGTGGATCAAGGCCTGATCAGCCAGGGTGTTACTGCTGGCAATACAATGTAGGAACCACAGCCCGGCTGGTCAGGAGTAAATGGCTTGCTGAAACCTGTGTGAACAATATTGTCATTAATAAAGGCATGACCTCCACTACTCAGCCCGTAGTTGTTCAAGTGCCACAGGGAAGTGTCGTAATAATAATAATAATTAATAATACAGTGGACCCCCGACTAACGATATTATTTCAATCCAGAAGTCTGTTCAGGTGCCTTTATAGACCGAATTTGTTCCCATAAGGAATATTGTGAATTAGATTAGTCCGTTTCACAACCCCAAAAATACACCTACAAAAGCACTTACAAAAATACACTTACATAATTAGTCGAGTTGGGAGCTGATCATTAGTCGGAGGTCCACTGTAATAATAATTTTATTTTAGTATGATACATGTTTGTACAAAGAAGTGTAATAATTGGGTGAACATACCAAAAGCTCCTTTATATGCAGAGCATTTTGGGCAAACTTAAGACTAACTTAAGATTAATAAGGCAACAACAGTGTTGTCATTGTAAATATGGTCATTAGGTGAGTTACAATGAATTCAAGAAAATTGAATATTCTGTTAGTTCATTGTATATGGCTTTAATAAGTTAGGTAGAGAAGAATTACAGTTTTGATATAGTATATAAAAAATACAGTATTACAATTTAAAACAATGAAGTTGAAACAATTTTAAGTTTGAAGTAGTGAAGTTTAAGTTTGTAGTAGTGAAGTTTAAGTTTATAGTAGTGAAGTTTAAGTTTATAGTAGTGAAGTTTAAGTTTGTAGTAGTGAAGTTTAAGTTTGTAGTAGTGAAGTTTAAGTTTGTAGTAGTGAAGTTTAAGTTTGTAGTAGTGAAGTTTAAGTTTGTAGTAGTGAAGTTTAAGTTTGTAGTAGTGAAGTTTAAGTTTGTAGTAGTGAAGTTTAAGTTTGTGGTAGTGAAGAGCTCTGTTCCACAAGGCACAGTACTTGCCCCTATCCTGTTCCTCATTCTCATATCAGACATAGACAGAGATATACACCATAGCACTGTATCATCCTTTGCAGATGATACAAGGATCTGCATGAGAGTGTCATCTATTGAGGACACGGCAAATCTCCAAGAAGATATAAACCAAGTTTTGCAGTGGGCAACGGAGAACACCATGATGTTCAATGAGGACAAATTCCAACTACTCTCTTATGGAAAACTGGAGGAAATAATAGCAAGGACTGAGTATACTACAAACTCTAATCATACAGTAGAGCGGAAAAGTAATGTGAAGGACCTGGGTGTGATAAAGTCCAAAGACCTCACCTTCAAGGACCACAACAATGCCACTATCACATCTGCTAGGAAACTGATAGGATGGATAATGAGAACATTCAAGACAAGAGATGCTAAGCCAGTGAGGATCCTTTTTAAATCACTTGTTCTCTCTAGGCTGGAATACTGCTGTACATTAACATCCCCATTCAAGGCAGGTGAAATTGCAGATCTAGAGAATGTACAGAGAACCTTTACTACACATATAAGTTCCATCATACACGTTAAGTGCTGGGAATGCCTGGAAGCACTTGACTTGTACTCATTGGAGTGCAGGCAAGAGGGATATATCATAATCTACACCTGGAAGATTCTGGAGGGACTGGTTCTTAATCTGCAAACAGAAGTCACTCTCTATGAAAGCAAAAGACTTGATAGGCGATGCAACATACCCCCAGTGAAAAGTAGGCGCACCCCTGGTACACTAAGAGAAAACACAGTAAGTGTCTGGGGCCCAAGATTGTTCAACAGCCTCCCACCAGCCTCCACCAGCTGACAGTATACAGTGGAACCTTGGTTGTTGAATTAACTAGCTGTTGAACAAATTGGTTTTTGAACAAAAATTCGGTTCTAAGTTTCGTACCTGGTCTTGGTTGTTGACCAACAACGCTGGGATCAGGTGATCACTAGAGTCCACAGTGTGGGGTCTCAGTCAGTATAGCGACTAAGGCACGTGCTGTAAACATCTCTTGAGCTCTTGCTGTGCATCTTGTGAAGGTAATGAAACCAAAGGTATAAAATTTGATGGAAAACTTACAGAATTACACTATTGTGAAGTTAATGATGTCTGCAATATTTACGCATCAGTGATTTCGGCCACTTTGAGCCCTATTTTGGGCCAATTTCATTGTTCTAGTCGACCAAACTCATAGCTATTTTGCTAGAACTCCTTTTATTCTATCGACTGAGTGCAAGGAACTACCCATTTACCTGTTATCAACTACCCAATAAAATGATCTGAAATTATTAATTTGGTCAATTTCACACAAAATTCAAGAAAGGCCAATTTCAAAATAGGGTCCAGCATAAACAGTGCAGACATTCCTGGCACTAAAATAACATTTTCTCTGTTCATTAGTCATGTCTCCAGCCCCTCTTATGTTATGCTTGCTTTTTATTTTGAATTTTTATTCACGCAAAAAATAAGATGATTTACTGTTACTCAGACTACTGCTTTATTGTAATAATTGTATAAATAATATAAGTGCATTTGTGAAAGCATATTAGACCCATCAATTGATGTGTACAGTGGACCCCCAACTTACGATGTCCTCAACCTACGTTAAACCGACTTACGATGATTGTCAGCATAAAAATTTGACCCCGACATACGTTGAAAAACTCGACTTAAATCATTCATCCCGTATGCGTCCACGCGTCTGTCTGGCCTGAGCGCCTCAGCTGAGCTAGTGTGACATTGTTTACAAGCTGGGGTGGACGGTTGCACGCATACATTCGATAAATTTTGTATTATACCAGTGTTTTTAGTGCTTGTAACTGCTAAATAAGCCACCATGAGCCCAAAGAAAGCTTCTAGTGCCAACCCTGTGGTAAAAAGGGTGAGAAATACTATCGTACCACAGTCAGCTGCTGCTGCACCAAGGTCAGCTGTACTACACGAAGATGTGGAGAGACTGTTATTGGTGTGGCTTATCGAGAATACCAAGAAACAATTAACCCCAGAGGGTTAGCTACCCAGGATAACCCAAGAAAGTCAGTGTGTCATCGAGGACTGTCTAACTTATTTCCATTGGGTCCTTAACCCTTAAACTGTCCAAGCAGATCTACGTTCACATGTGTAGTGCTCCAAAAGTAGATCTACGTTTTTTACATATTTTCAAATATATAAAAAAAAAGTAGATCAAAGTTTTTTTTACATGCTTTCAAATGTAAAAAAAAAAAAATTACATTTTTTTACATATTTTCAAATGTTGAAAAAATGTAGATCTACGTTTGGACAGTTTAAGGGTTAATCTTATCCCCCAGGATGCAACCCACACCAGTTGACTAACTCCCAGGTGAACAGGAAAAAATGCCTGAAACTAGTGCTCATATTGGTGAATTTAAGGCCAGCAAAGGTTGGTTTGAGAGATTTAAGAATTGTAGTGGCATACACAGTGTGGTAAAGCTTGTTCTGGAAGAAAATGCCAAACAGGACCTACAGTACTCAGGAGGAAAAGGCACTCCCAGGACACAGTGTCTCATCAGTCATCACTACATCTTCAATAAAGGTAAGTGTTATTTATTCTTCATTTAGTACACTAGTACATGCACAATATATATTGTGTATGTATCATCTTTTTTGTGTGTAGGAAAATGTATATTTCGTGTGGTAAATTTTTTTTTTCATACTTTTGGGTGTCTTGAACGGATTAATTTGATTTCCATTATTTCTTATGGGGAAAATTAATTCGACTTACGATAATTTTATCTTACGATGTGCTCTCAGGAATGGATTAATATCATAAGTCAGGGGTCCACTGTATTGGATGCATGACATGATTTGTTTACTCTTGAACATTGGCAAAATCGAACATTTCTGCTACTTTGAGCTCAGTTTCAAGCTATGTTTAGTCTTTAAACCATTGAAAACCATCTATATTTCTGTAATATATATCTTCCATTCTATCAAATGAGACCAAGAAAACAAGAATACAATCAGAAATACCACATGACAATGCACCACAGTGTCGCTGTTTTAAACCAAAAACATGGTCGCAGTTTTTTTTTCTCATTATGCACCGCATGCTGCAGGATATTTTTTATATTGCGCACGCTGACCATACAGACCCATTCTCTCACATGCAGGTCTACTAACTTTCTCCTGCAAGATTTGAAGCCACCAGAATTTTGCCAATACCTCTCTGACATGTAAGAGGCAGTTAAATTTTCATTTACTGTACAGTATTTCAGTTAAATTTTCATTTAGTATTCATTTTTACAGTTTCTGTCTGCTGTATAATTTTATACATTGTTTTATGTAGTAGTTAATACATTATTATTAATAAATTATTATACTGTCATTTGGGGTCTGGAACGGATTAAATCTGTTTACGTTATTCTTTATGGGAAAAATTTATTTGGCTATCTAACTGATATCTGGAACTAATTAAGTTCGACAACCGAGGTTCCACTGTATAGATGAGCTTTACAAGAGAACTGACTGTATATAGAGGAGCTTTATAAGTGAACTGGCTGTATATAGAAGAGCTTTATAAGAGAACTGACTGTATATAGAGGAGCTTTATAAGAGAACTGACTGTATATAGAGGAGCTTTATAAGAGAACTGACTATATAGAGGAGCTTTATAAGTGAACTGACTGTATATAGAGGAGCTTTATAAGAGAACTGACTGTATATAGAGGAGCTTTATAAGAGAACTGGCTGTATATAGAGGAGTTTTAAATAAGAAAACTGACTGTATATAGAGGAGCTTTATAAGAGAACTGACTGTATATAGAGGAGCTTTATAAGAGAACTGACTGTATATAGAGGAGCTTTATAAGAGAACTGACTGTATATAGAGGAGCTTTATAAGAAAACTGACTGTATATAGAGGAGCTTTATAAGCGAACTGACTGTATATAGAGGAGCTTTATAAGAGAACTGACTGTATATGAGGAGCTTTATAAAGAACTGACTGTATATAGAGGAGCTTTATAAGAGAATGACCTGTATATAGAGGAGCTTTACAAGAGAACCGACTGTATATAGAGGAGCTTTATAAAAAACTGACTGTATATAGAGAGCTTATAAGCGAACTGACTGTATATAGGGAGCTATTATACGAGAACTGACTGTATATAGAGGAGCTTTATAAGAGAACTGACTGTATATAGAGGAGCTTTATAAGAGACTGACTGTATATAGAGGAGCTTTATAAGAGAACTGACTGTAATAGAGGAGCTTTATAAGAGAACTGACTGTATATAGAGGAGCTTTATTAGAGAATGACTGTATGTAGAGGAGCTTTATAAGAGAACTGACTGTATATAGAGGAGCTTTATAAGAGAACTGACTGTATATAGAGGAGCTTTATTAGAGAATGACTGTATGTAGAGGAGCTTTTATAAGAAACTGATGTATATAGAGGAGCTTTATTAGAGAATGACTGTATGTAAGGAGCTTTATAAGAGAACTGACTGTATATAGGAGCTTTATTAGAGAAAGACTGTATATAGAGGAGCTTTATAAGAGAACTGACTGTATACAGAGAAGCTTTATAAGAGAATGACTGTATATAGAGGAGCTTTATAAGAGAACTGATTGTATATAGAGGAACTTTATAAGAGAACTGACTGTATATAGAGGAGCTTTATAAAGCTCCTCTATGTACAGTCAGTTCTCTTATAAAGCTGACTGTATATAGAGGAGCTTTATAAGAGAACTGGCTGTATATAGAGGAGCTTTATAAGAGAACTGACTGTATATAGAGGAGCTTTATAAGAGAACTGACTGTATATAGAGGAGCTTTATAAGAGAACTGATTGTATACAGAGAAGCTTTATAAGAGAATGACTGTATATAGAGGAGCTTTATAAAGCTCCTCTATGTACAGTCAGTTCTCTTATAAAGCTGACTGTATATAGAGGAGCTTTATAAGAGAACTGGCTGTATATAGAGGAGCTTTATAAGAGAGCTGACTGTATATAGAGGGGCTTTATAAGAAAACTGACTGTATACATGTATAGAGGAATTTCATAAGAGAACTGACTGAAATTTTTAAGTTTAAAGTATAGAGAAAATACTGATACTTGTTTTCAATAGATTTGTGTTGTATCACTGACAGATGGAGAACGTGGAAGTAATGGGAAGGTCACTGGACCCTTCACAACCATGGGTCAAGGACTCTCGTGGTCGACACACAAACCTGGCGGCATTGTTGGACTGGCCGGACCTCACCTGAGAAGTTAACTTGGGTTGTTTATTTGTTCTTATCACTCTTTAAGGTGGTTTTTAAAAAATATTGGTTAAATTTAATGGGAAATTTAAAAGTCTATCTACTACATCGCATTAAGGAAAGGTTTTTTGGGTTTTTTTAATGGGGGTTTTAATTTTACTACCACATCCGGGGCATTAAGAATGGTTGGTTTAAATTTAAAGGGGTTTAAAGTGTGTACCCCACACCAGGGTTAAGACTGTTAGTGGGTTTAAACCCTGGAGGGGGTCCAGGACGAGAGGGGGGTCCAGGAAATTTGGGGGGTGATCAAGGGGCGAAAGGGGGGAAAAAACAGTGCATCAATCCGAAGGGTGAACCGAGGTTGTTCAATTCAGAGTGTTCTCTGACTGTAACATCAACACACTTTCCCCAAAGGGAGTGAAAGGGAAAGAATACGGTGAAAAGTGTTTTTTTGGGCACTTTTGTGTAAAAAAAATTTCTCTCATAAAAGTTTTAAAAATTTTATTTTTAATTTTCGTTTTAAAAAAAAATTTTTGATTTTTTACCAAAAAAACCTTTTAAACGTAACCCGAAACCCTTTTTAAATAATGCAATTTAATTAAACTTAATCCAAAAAAAATATATTTTATAAAGTTTACAATAATTTAATAATAAACCCCAATGAAAATATCTTTTTTTGTTAAATTCGCTTGCCTTTTCGAAAGAAATGCGTTCTTTTAACCAAAAAACGCAACTTTTAAAATATTCGAAAACAAGGGGCAAAAAATATAAAAAATATATATTTTTATTATTTTAAAACAATGCCATTCCCCAACCCCAAAGGGAGGGGGGCCCCCAAAAAGAAAAAACCCTTTTACCTCATTTACTCCAACACTGTCTTGCCAAAGGGGGCTTTACACTAAAATTTTTAAAAATGCAACCTTTAAAACCCCTCCTTCCCGAGGGCAGGCACTGAAAATTTTCCCCTCTCCCGGGCCCAAGTCCGGGCCCGCCGGTTTCCCTGAATCCCCTTCAAAATGTTAATTTCCCCCCACACCCAACGCACGCAAGTATTTAAAAAACCCTTTGTCCCCCCATTCACTCCTATCAAAAAACGCTCACCATCCTGCCCAAATTCCCAAACAGGGAGTAGGGTTTGGGAGACAGCAAACCCCCCCAGGGGAAATACAAACCCTCCGCCAATGACTGGGAAAAAAGAAAACCGTAAATGTTTTGCATTTAGGTAGGATTTCTGGTTTCTTTTTTTGTCTCATAAACCGCAGATAAAAGGGGTATCTTGCTAAAACCCCCTTTTTCTTTTCACACTTCACAGACACCACATGCCCTAATTTTATTAAAATACATCTAGGGTTTTTTTTTCCCTTTTTTTAAAATTTCCCCTTGTTCTTCTTTTTTTTCTTCTATTGTTTCCCTTGGGGGAAATGGAAAAGAAACTTTCCTCCCCTAAAACCATGCGTGTCGTAAAAGGGGACTAAAAAGCCGGGAGCAAATTGGGGGTAGTAACCCCTTCTCCTGATACTTTACTAAAAAAAGGAGGGAAAAAAACTTTAATAAAATATATAACATTATATAAATTCTTTCAACACACCCCCGGGCCCTATTTCCCAAACCCAGGGGGGGTGGCTCAAAAAAAAAAAATGAAAGTTTCTCCTTTTACTTTAAAAATAATCAGGAGAAGGGGTTACTACCCCCTTGCCCCCGGGCATTTTGTCGCCTCTTACAACACTGGCTTACGGGGGAAAGAATTCTTTTCCCACTTTCCCATGGGGGAAGGGAAATAAACAAGAACAAGAACTAGTAAAAAAAAAGAAGAAAACCCAGAGCTGTGTTTTTATTATATGCAAAGTACATTATTGTGTGTGACCTAAGTGTTTGTAGAAAAGGGAGAAGACGTACCTGAAATCTTTCATGTTTATAGACAGAAAAAAAAGGAAAACCCGCAATCCTACCCTCATGTTTTAAAAAAAATTACAGGCTTTCTTTTACATCACTTGCAGGACGGTAGACCTCCCTGGGGGGGTTGCGTTACCAACCACTACCTTGGTAATTATATATATATATACATATATTTATTTAGGTAGTAGGGGGTTGGGAGACAGCAACTGCCCAGGGAGGGGCTACCGTCCTGCCAAATGAGTGTAAAACGAAAGCCTGAAAATTTTTTTACCCGATGGCAGGAGTGCTGGTGTCTTTTTTTGTCTCATAAATATTCAAGATTAAGGTAGTCTTGCTATTCTGCTTACCTTGGGTCAACCTAAAACATACATGACAAGCATATAATAACACCCCTCGGGGTTTTCTTTTATTTTCTTTCAAATTTCTTGTTCTTGTTTATTTCCTCTTATCCCCATGGTGAAGTGGAACGAATTCTTCCCTGTAACCCTGGGTCGTAAGAGGCGACTAAAATCCCGGGAGAAAGGGGCTAGAAACCCCCATTTCCTGTAATATTATAATTTAAAAAGAAAACTTCAGTTTTTTTTTTGGGCCACCCCACCTCAGGGGGATAGGGCTTGGTACGTTAAAAGAAAAAAAAAATTTTAAAATTATAATATTATATATTAAAATAAAATGGAGCGAAACAAAATGACTTCAAGGTTATCGTCGTAGGGGGAAGGAAGGGGGGGGTGGGGGGTCGGCCTGGGAAAAGGGTTTGGAGGGGGGGGGTAAAGGAGGTTTTGTGTCGGGGGGCTTGGATTCCAGCAGGCATGCCCGTGAGCGTGTTTGATAGGAGTGAATGGAGGGAACAAATGGTTTTTAATATTTGACGTGTGTTGGAGTGTGCAAAGAACATTTATGAAGGGAACCCCCCCCCGGGAAACCGGCACCCCCGACCCTTGAGTCCTGGAGATGGGAAGTACAGTGGCCTGCACCTAAGGAGGGGGTTTTAATGTTGCAGTTTAAAAACTGTAGTTTTAAAGCACCCTTCGGAAGACGTGGGAGTAAATGATGGTGAAAGTTTTTCTTTTTCGGGCCCCCCTCCTTGTTGGGAATCGGCAGTGGTAATAAAAAAAAAATAAAAATTATATATGTAGGTAGTAAGGTTGGGAACAAACCCCCCAGGGAGGTACTACCGTCCTGCCAGTGAGGTTAAAACGAAAACCTGTGATTGTTTTACATGATGGTAGGGGTTGCTGATGCTTTTGTCTGTCTCATAAATATGCAAAATTAAGGGACTTTGCACTTTTACTTTCACTTAGGGCCACTACACATACGTACCATTATTTATACACACTCATCTGAAATTTTTTTTGATTTTTATTTAATATTCTTGGTCTTTTTCCCTTTTCCCTTTTTTGGGAAGGGAATAAGAAACTTTCCTCCTAAGCCATGCGTGTGTAAAAATCAACTAAATGCCCGGGAACAATGGGCTAGTAACCCCTTTTTCCCGTAAAGTTACTAAAAAGAATAAAAAAAAGAAAATTGTAAAGTGGGAAGTCTGAATGTGCGTGGATGTTGTGCAGATGATAAGAAAAAGATGATTGTGATTTATGAATGAGAAAAGTGGATGTTGGCCTTTTTAATGGGAAAAAAGCGAAGGGGGGGGGAGAGTTTCAGTGGAGAGGAATAAAAGGGGTTAGGTCGGGGTTTTAAATAATTAGAGCTAAAGAAGGGGTAGCAATAAGTTGAAAGGGAAAACTAGGCAGGAAAAGAGGGGCTATAAATGTATTAATTCAAGGAATTTTTGTGGAGTAAAAAAAAGGTGGATTGTGAAAAAAAAAAAAAAAAAAAAAAAAAAAGTGGGTTATAATAAGCGTTATGCACCCGGAGAGGGGAAGTGTAGAGGAGAGAGAGAGATTTTGGGAAAGTTGAGTGAATGCGTGGGGAAGTTTTGAATCAAGGTGAGAGTAATGGTGGTTTGGGATTTCAATGCTGAAGGGGGTTTAAAAATGTTGTGGGGGGAAAGTAGTAGGTAAATTTGGGGTGCCAGGGTAAATGTAAATGGGGAGCCTTTAATTGAGCTATGTGTAGAAAGAGATTTGGTAATAAGTAATACATATTTTATGAAAAAGAGGATAAATAAATATACAAGGTATATGAGCACATAATGAAAGTAGTTTATTAGATTATGTATTGGTGGATAAAAGGTTGATGGGTAGGCTCCAGGATGTACATGTTTATAGAGGGGAAAACTGATATATCGGATCATTATTTAGTTGTAGCTACAGTTAGAGTAAGGGGTAGATGAGAAAAGAGGAAGGTGGCAACAAGTAAGAGGGAGGTGAAAGTGTATAAACTAAGGGAGGAGGAAGTTCGGGTGAGATATAAGCGACTATTGCAGAAAGGTGGGCTAGTGCAAAGATGAGTAGTGGGGGGTTGAAGAGGGTTGGAATAGTTTAAAAATGCAGTTTTTAGAATGTGGGGCAGAAGTTTGTGGGTTTTAGGAGGGTGGGGGCAAGAGGAAAGAAGGAAATGGGTTGGTGGAATGATGAAGTAAAGGGTGTGATAAAAGAGAAAAAGATAGCTTATGAGAGGTTTTACAAAGCAAAGTTTTATAAGAAGAAAGAGTATATGGAGAGAAAAAAAGGTAAAGGTTGGGAGAGAGTGCAAAAGGGAGCAGATGATAGGGGGGAAAGGGGCCTGTAAAAAAATTTTAATGAAAAAAAGAAAAAATTTTGGGGAGTGGTAAAAAAGTTAAGAAAGCCTGGGGAAAGTATATTTGCAGTTAAAAACAGATAGGGGGTTTGATGGAAGGGAGGTATTAGGTAGATGGCGAAATATTTTGGGGAAATTTTTAATGTAAGGGAAAAACAGGGGCAAATTTCATGCCGGGCAGGAGGTATCCCATTTTTTTTAGGAGTAAAAGAAGAGCAGAATGAAAGTGTGGGGGGGGTACGTGAGGAAATTACGTAAAATGAAAGGGGGAAAAGCGCGGGAACGATGAGATCATGACAAAAAATGTTAAAAGCGGGGGGGGGATAAGTTTTGGGAGGGGTTGGGTATTTTTTGTTTAAAAAATGTAAAAAGAGGGGAATCCCTAGGGTTTTGGTGGAGAGCATGTA